TGAGCGACCCCTCACTTCTTGAGGGGTCAGGCTCAGCCAGACTCCCCACAGTGAAGGGGACCTCTTTCATTTCCCTGTGGGCCTCATTCTCCAGGTTTGAACACCTGGTCAGCATTTATGTGAACTGTGATTTTTTATTTTATTTTAAAAAAACAAACCAAAGACAGCATTTGGCATTATTGATAGTCTTTTGTATAAAAACTGAGTTGAACTGTAACAATGTACGCATCATAATTACGAGCTTATTAAAAAGGAGCACAGTCCTTCTAGGTTGCATTTGTGAGGATTTAGGATTGGCTGTATATCAGGGATCCCGAGTAGAGTGGTGTAAACAAGATAGAAGCTAATTTCTCTCTTAGTCTCAAGCTGACCACAGAACCAAGCTCACTTCTCCTTTGTTTCAGTATTTGTGGGGCCTAGGTGATCCTTGGTGGCTCTGGGTAAATGCAAAGGCATGCCCCTTCCACTAAAGGGTGACCTTGGAGTTGAATGTATTCATTCCACAGACTTCCCACTGGATAGAACGTAGTGGGGTGGCCACATCCAACTACAAGGACAGCCGAGCAGTGTTTATTTTGGTTAACCAGTTACTCCTCGCTGTAGACAAAGGAGAAAATGGATATTGGGGATGGGAGAGGGACATTTAACAGTTTCTGATGCACAGTAATTCCTGCCTAATGTTCATTTTCAGATATATTCTGTTCACAGCAGAATTCTTTGTGATGGTCATGTCATAAGGGACTGGGTTACCAAGACATGCAAAATCATTGTCAGACCTTAAATAACCTCCAGTTTAATGATTGCCAAACTGAGAGGAATGTGTGAACTGTAGTCCTAGTTCCTATTTCACTCTCTTCTTACAATTAAAGTTTGGTGAACTGAAATATAGTCATGCATGTGTAAAAATGTATTATATGATAGAGGATGTAAACCCAATGGTATAGGGCTGAATTATTAACTGTAGGAGGGGGGATCAGCTCAGAGTTGCACCTCACAAAATATTTGAGCATAAATCCCTTATGTGTTAAATGTAAAACTTAAAACCCGAGAGAAGTTAAACTTTTGGTGTCCTGGGGTGGGGTAAGGACATTTTAGGAATACAAATTTTAGAAGAAATAAAGGGAATTGATAGATTGGACTAAGATAAAAAACCAAAACAACTAGCATTCTGTATATCAAAAGGAATCACTAAAGGAGAAGTTGGGGAAAATATCTTTCAATAGTTATGTGAGGTAAAATATGCAGAGTGCTTAAAAATTATACAAAATACCAACAGAGTTACAATGTGGGAAGGATGTGAACAGAGGTAATATCACATGAAGACTGTGTATTGCAGTGGCAAGATAGTATTTTTTTAATTCATTATTATTTTTTCTTTCCTTTTCTTTTTTTATTGATTTTAGAGAGAGGAAGGCAGGGAGGGAGAGAGAGAAACATCGATGTGGAAGAGAAATATCGATTGGTTTCCTCCTCCAGGAACCCGGACCTGGGGATCGAACTCGAAACTTGGGCATGTACCCTGACTGGGAATCAAACACGCCACCTTTTGGTGTATGGGATGATGCCCCAGCCAAGCCACACTGGCCAGGGCAGGATACTATTTTTTGAATATCAAATTGAAAAAGGTGAAAGTAAGCATTATTTATGGCTGAAGAGGAGATTGGATTTAGACGGATTCTGGCATCCACTGCTGGTCACTCTGTAAGTGAGGACAGTAGGCTGGATGGCATGTTAGCAATATGTATCATGAGGCTTAAACATGTTCCTGTATTTGGCCCCATTCTCTAACTTCTGGGATTCTACACAAAAGAAACATCCCAGATGTAATAGAATTTATGGTTGAGGATTATCACTGCAGCACTGTTTATGATGGGGAAAAAAAACAAAAAAACAACTTAATGGTCACAGTAGCAGAATGGTAAATAAATTATCTTATTCACATTATAATAAAAATTACCCAACCATTTCAAGTTATGTTTTCAAAGAATTTTAATGGTGTGGGGAAATGCTTCCTGTGTAATGTTAAATGAAAAACGAATTAAAATTCTAACTTCTATATGAACTCGAAAAAACCCACAGAGAAGCTATCAGGAGGAGTTACTATAAACCTAAAAGTGATTTTTCTCTGGGTGTTAGAATTACTAGTGATTTAAATTCGTTCCTTTATAATTTTATTCCTTAAGAATTCTACAGAGAGCATGTATACCTTTTATGAAAAGGGAAAAAGTACACATCATTTAAAAAATGAAAGTGTGATGCGTCATTTGCCAAAATAAATTTTGCAGCCACCTGGGACAATGCCTTGTCTCCTGTTCTTATACAGAATAATGTGAGGCTTAACTCTGCCACTCATTCAGGTGGCTTTCTTTTTGGTTTTTATATTGTTGCCCCTGAGTTCTATTTAAAATGATTGGTTTGGTGCATTTAAATCGATGTCTTATTTTACAGTCCCCGGTTACCTTTTTATAGTGTCTAGTTAGAGGCCAATGGAGAGAGTTGAATCACTGAGGAGTCATAAAAATTTTAGCAAACTATTTTTCCCTTTAATAGTGTCAGATAAGCCACTGATACTTGACATTAGTAACATTCATGGAGTTTTTTTTTTTTCCTTTACAGAAAAATATATTGCCTGATTACATTTTTGAGGTGGGATGATTTTCTTGACTTTACAGATGAGTGGAAAAAGGAAATTATCTTGATATGATGCACATAATTTAACTTCTCTGAGATTTCTTTGAAATTGTATTGAAACAACTAGGCAGCACATTCAGTAAGAACCTACTACTTAGGAAGTTTCCTATGAAAAATTTGTGGAGTATTATGGGGAAACTGAAGTTTCTTAGGTTTAAAAATTCCTGTGTTCTTTTTAACCAGCTTGCCATTAAATCAAAGCTTTTAAGAGAGCCAAGAATTGGCGGTTATTTAAGACCATCAATTCAAATATAATAAACTCCAGTTTATCTATGCAGTGGTCTAGCTGTGCTGTCCAATGAGCAGCCACTAGCCACATATGGCTTTTAAATTAAAATGAATTAAAATTGAGATCCCCATTCACACTATCTACATTTCAAAGGTTCAGTAGCCATGTGTGGCTAGTGGGTATCGAATTGGACTGTGCAGCTATAGAAATTCTATTGGACCTTGCTGGTCTAGAGATAATTCAAAATAGATAATAAGTCCTCAATAATTTCTGATTCATTTTAGAATATCTAATGAATGTTCTTTCTCACCCATTTCCTTCTTAACAAGGCTTTGTCTAGTCTATGCTAAAATAGTTTTCTTCTTTGAATACTCAAATAATAGGAGGCAGGTGCTTATTGTATTTGGTTCAGATAAACAGATAGTCTGAATGCAGAAAATAAGGCAAGTAATACTAAAAGCCCTGGTAGATTCATAGAATTTTAGATTTGAAAAGGACCATTGATTGCATCTAATTAAGCCTTCTTATTTAACTGATGAGAAGTTTGAGGAACAGAGAGGTTAAGTAATTTTCTTAAGTCACACAGCTAGTGGCCTTGTTACTCCTTATTCTCCAAGTTCACTGTTCTTGTCACTGGGCCAAGACCTCTTTTTAAAAGACAGTCCAGTACTATAATTCTGTGGTTCAACAATTTTAGACAAGAAGAGCCAATTATAGTAGAATTAGCTTTACACAAGGTCACAAAGTGTATTGTACAAAACAGGAAATGACCCTTTAAAATCCCAGCCTTCTCAGCCTTTTTTTCATGTCTTCAGAAAATACGCTGCTTTCATGAATAGGCATTTTTACCTTCAGTCTTGAAATTACATGTATTTTAAGAATCAAAAGGAAATTTGCTTCCTTTTAAAAATAGTCTATTTTTGGGGGGTTAGGGTACTGTAGTTAGGAAAAGGATTTGCTTTTAAAATCCTGTTTTTATTTTGCAAAGTTTATGCATCAGTTGTCAGCAGTAAGATTTGCAACCCCCTACCCCAATTCCATTGAAAGTAAATTTCTGTGAAATAGTTTGTCATTCTTATATTTAATATATTTTCTTCAGAATTATTTATTTCCATAGGCACTGCATAGCTTCCATTAGCTGCTGAAAGCTGACTGTGGCAAGCGAAGTAATTTATTCTAGGAACCTGACTACATGCTGTGAAAAGATTGCATCTTGTTAATATTGGGAGATTCTTGGGTTGTTTCCAGCATATCCTGTGGATTTTACCTTTCAAATACATAATGATCCTGTTTCCTTCTTTTCTCTTTCACTGTCTTATTCTAGACCTTCATGTGCATGTTGTTTTTAGTCTCTGTTTCCATTTGGCCTTGGCCCTGTCTGTCACCTGTCTGGCATGCAGCTGCCAGAGCAGTATTTCTGGAACAAATCTGATCATTTCACTTCCTGGAATGAAATCCTGCGGTGTCTACTCCTGCCTGCAGAGTGAAACGCGAGGTCGGGTCCTTTTTTGGCAATATTCTCTTCTTATCTGGGCTCCGCCTGCCTCACTATTCTCACCCTCAAGTCTTTATTCAAATATCACTTTCTCGGGTCTTACCTGACCACCATCTAAATGATCTCAGCCCCTTTTCTTGCTCACCTGTATCTTCTCTCCATCTTTAGTTTTTCCTACAGCACGTATCACCTTCTGACGTATTATATAATTTACCAATTTTCTGATTTATTGACGCTTTCCCCAATTAGGATGCACTCTCTCTCAGGACAATCTATGGTATTTTGTTCGTGCTCAGTGTTCCACCTCCTGTCCTTTCTCTTGGTTGCCTGCCCTTCTCCCCTCCAAGTTCTTGGTGATTCCTGGATTACCCCGTGGAGAGCGGTGGGAGGCAGAGTTTTCCAGAGCATGTCACCCTCTTTCTCTTTCTTTGTCCAGGCCATCTTGTAGCCAGCCCCTGGCGTCAGCAGATGTGGTTCCCCTGCCTCAGTGATAGAGTGATGGGTAAACTCACAGTCACACTTCTCGTCATCGGGTGGGATGAGGGTTTTACTCTTTATATCCCAGTGCTGCTCCCCATGAGCATTCTCTCAGTGGACACTTGCTGCTTGCTGGGTATCTGGTTGGATAGCCACTTGCTCAGCATTGAGTGGTTTCTCCGCAAATTGCATCAGTGATTGCTCCTTAGGTACCAGTGGCAGTAGCAACAAACTGGTGAGTGCTGCTACACACTGAAATCCCGGCGTAGGACGCGAGCTTTCCAGCTGCCCGGCAGCCTCTCCTGCCGCTGTGTGCAGCCCCACTGGGGAGGAAATCTACGAAAGCACAGCTGTCCGCAAACCCATGTGTCTGTATCGTGGTAGGAATGGTGAAAAAATGCTCTTAGGAGTCTGCAGTTCTGCCCATTATCATGTGGGTTATTTTGGCAAACCGATGTCTGTGAGGTGAAATTAGCCAGCCTCAGTCTTCTAATGCTGGGCTGGCCAGTGTCTTTGGTAAATAGTTTTAGAACCCATCTGTCCATTAAATGGGTTCCTGTGTTTGTTGTTTCCATCAAAACTCTCAGAAACTAAGCCTATCAAATGATTCACTACTGAATACAACTTTGAATTATTAAGAAAACACCGAGTTTCTATTTAAGCTTCAATCATTCCTTTAATTTTGACAAAACCTCAAAATATTTTTCAGGAAAGTAATCCGAAGAGCACCAAAATGGGGTGTGTGTGTGTGTGTGTGTGTGTGTGTTTTAAGAAGGGCATGGTATTCTTAAAAGATCCTTTACCAGTATGTGAGGGACAAAATACTCTGTTTATGTAGCAATCGATATACTATTCTTTTCCTTCATCTATCTTTGTTCTTTTGCTGATTTAAACTTTTGTCTAAGTGTGAAATAAAAGCGAGCACTGAATAAATGAAAGATTAAAAACCCCACCTATGGCTGTGTCTGAAAGATTAAAAACCCCATCAGAACTGTGAATGGCTGACCCTTAGTAATGACTCTGCCTGGGTGTCTTATGGGATGTGACTATATAAGTGACCTAGATTGTAGGATTCTGTGGGCATCGACTGTAGTTTTACTTCTTTTACCACCAGTCATGTCAGAACGCAAGTGTGGAATAGTCATGCTGTTATAGGAAAAGTCCCATTTGGTCACAAAGCTCATATTTGCAAATGCTGATACTTTAACTGGTTTTGGTAACCATTGCCTGGGAAAAACCCCCGATGTCTTACGTGTGTGTGGGGACACTGAGGCTGAGGCTGAGGCGGGCTTGGCGCTTCACAACACTGAGTGAGGAAGGAAGAAACAGTTGGGTGGAGAAGTGTCTTGCCAACGTTACCGGGGTAGACTAGGGGTTGAATTGTAGATTCTATTTGTTAATGAAAAATGTGTCTGTTTTAGTGGTGCCAGGAGCTTGTAGAAAATCGATGGTTTTGCTCAGCTGCGACCTTTGTTGACCTCGTGTAGACATGCACTCTTTAGTCTTGATTCTTGGTATTTTCTATGATTACTACACTGCATCCTGCACATTATAATGAAATAGTAGCGGCTCTGACAGGATGTCGTTATTTTTGGAGGGTTTAAAAATAAGCGAATCTGATTCTTTTTCCTTTGTTGGCTGCCCTTAGGTAATTCTTCCTGCAGGATGAATTAAGAGGAGATCCTTATTTCTTGGGAATGGAGAGCAGTTTGTCAGCTACCAATATGCCAGATCCTTCATCTTCCCCCTTGGAGAAACATCCAAGCTCGGCTAATGGTAATGGAGATCTTGATTCAGGTACAATTCTGTTTTCTAGAGCCATTTGGCCTCTTGATGTATTGACCAGTAACTTTCTGAAAACGTTCAGGAAACAGCGGGGCAGCATTTCTAGATCTCACATACTGCCTGATCCTAAGACTTGCTGTCATGTTCATAAGCATATAGCAGCTGGAAAGTCAGGCAAAATTTGCTTCAAAATTAATATTAGCTATATACTGGACAGGGTGACCTAGGTGACACTGCCAAATCACTTCAGAATCTCAATGGCTTAATAAATGTTTATAATTTTTCACACTTCTTAGTTCAGACAGTCTCGGTGGGCGCTCTGTTCGCCGAGTCTCTCCACACCACTTGACAGTGCACATCTCAGCTGCTGCTCCAGGCTTGGTTGTTACACAAGAAGCAGAGCTGCAGGGTCCTGAGTCAGTGACTAAATGCTGTAGCTCAGATGAGACAGGTTTCATTTTTTCCCAGAACCTCTTTTTTAAATTTTATTTTTTAATCGCAGTTCACATTCAGTATTATTTTGTATTAGTTTCAGGTGTACAGCATAGTGGTTCGACACTCATATACTTTATAAAGTGTTCCTGCCAATATTTTTAAGTACCCACCTGGCACTATACATAGTTAAGTATTATTGACTATATTCCCTATGCTGTACTTTATATCCCCATGACTATTTTGTAACTACCAATTTGTAGTTCTTAATCCCTTCACCTTTTCATGCAGCGCCCCCTAAGCTCAAAACCTCTTGACCTAACCGATCTAGGGAGGTGGCGAAATTGAATTCTCTGACATGTGCCCAGAAAGAGAGGACAGCAGGATCTGCCCAAGCACCAGATGCCACTTCCCAAGACCCTCTCCAAAATCTCCAGCACAGCTTTCAGAAAAGTGCATAATGTGAAAGAAATTTAGGTCACATGAATTTGTGTAAAGTCTTTCTCCCTTTAAGAAATCATAAAACACACAAAACAAACCCAGTCCTTGATTGAATTTTGATATTTAACCAATGAATTTGTAAATGAATCTTTTTCTAAATACTTGCACAATAAAGAGTTTATTTTAAATATATATATATTTTAAGGATTACACTATTAGGTAACAGCAAATTAGATAAGGAAAATTTAGCTCTCAGAATTATAAACATTGGTATGGTGAATTCATGGACAAAAATGTTATCATTAATTCAGTGGGAGATTTGACTATTGTCCAAAGAAGGTATGAAGCTTGTTTTCATGTTTTGATGAGTCCCGTCAATGACAGAATTACAGATTGCTTGATGTCATTGAATTTACTAGATTATGTCTCTCAAATTATATCTTTGTTTTTCCAAATTACATCTTTAGCTTGAGAAAATCTGGAAACCCCTGAAATATTCGCCTGAAAGATGTTAATATCTTTTAAAATCAGCTCATTCTTCCCCTTTCAGTTTCTTTCTATATAAAGTAGGAGCGGGAAATATTCTGAAAGCAGAGTCGAATCTTTTTCTCCCAGTGGAAATGTGGAAATTCTTTTTCTGAGAGAGCATGGTCTCACAGACTGAAGGTTCACCCTAGTTATTCTACATTTATTTAAGTGCAGATATGCCTTTAAAGAAGTCTTTGTTGTGTTTGCTGAGAGAGGTTATTTTTCCATTTTTTGAGTCCCTGATTTTGACCATATTTTTGTTGTACACACATCTGACGTCTATGACTGCATCATTTTCACTGGTATGTTTTCAAAACTGTCTAAACGGCAACTGTGTGTTGACTTTTCATTTTCAGGCAGCTGTAGTAGATTCTGAAACTTATTAATAATATAGTGTCAGGAAAATTTTTTGTACTGAATTTCCTTGTGGGTGATCTCATGAATGGGGAGGTGTGAGCACCAGAATCCTGTCATTGGCTGGGCTATGCCACTCCAAATGCCCACTTCTTGGTTAGCTCCTTGCTCATGTGTGGTGGGAGGCCTTGCTCTTGGGTGGTGGTAGGCTTGAATCATCTAAGAGGTTAAGATTTTTAATAGAACTAGTAGTTCTAAATAGCTCTAAATTATCTTAACATTTTTCAGATATTGGCTCTGATTTTTTTTTTTTTCTGTATGGCTAATCTGTTCTTTCTCCTTAGAATTTCCATTTATACTTGTGTGGTGAGGAGACTTTTAAATGGTGCCACAAAGACAGACTTTCCTAAAGGAAAACAATTTAAAGCAGGACCTAAACCTTTGTAGAGAACAGAAGTTGACTTCTAGAAATTCAGATCTAGTTTTGAACATGCAAACTGTTAAGAACATACTCAAGTAGGAGCCGTCAAGTAGTTTATTTCCCCAAGGAGTTCCCTTTTCACCTGTTACTACATAAATTATCTCCTGTCTGCCATAAATTGTGTGGATATTTGGTTCTGGGACCAACTGTGGCATGGTTAGGGTTGGGTGGTGGCTTGGTACTTTTCCCAGAAGCACTTCAGATGAGATTTCAATATCTGATGAGCAGGAGAAGGCAGACAGCATTCTTCACCTGGTTGTCAATTGACTCTCAAATGACGGACAGTGTGTACATTACCCTATGTTCATGGCAAGCACACTTTCTGTTTTCTTTTTTTAAAAAATCTTCACCTGAGGACATGCTTAGAGAGAGGAAGGGGGAGAGAGAGATACATCGATCAGTTGCCTTCCGTACATGCCCCTATCTGTATCGAACCCACGACCCAGGTATGTGCCCTGACTGGAAATTGAACCAGCAGCCTTTTAGTGCACAGGTCAACTTTCCAACCAACTGAGCCACTATGGCTGGGAAGCAGGCACTCTCTTAAGTGCTTTACATGTGTTGCATTGTTTAATTCTTTCACAACCTAGTGAAATAGCAGATGAAACTGGATGACCAGAGGGAATCACTTGGCTCTTGTGTTCAAGCCAGGATTTCATGTCAGGCATCCTGAGGGCTCTGAAACACTGAGCTGTGCCTGCCCTTCAGCGCAGGGAGAAGTCACCCTGGATACATAAGTGTGCATAAACACATACACACACTCACACACACACACTCACTGTATGGGACACAGTACGACTCAGATTCTTTCTTGTCCTCTCCTCCACTTGTCTCCCATCCCCTCTCCCCATGTGTTATATGACACACGACTTCACCTCCCTGACAACTGACCACATATAAGTGCCTACAGCTCTTCTTGGTCCAAATCACAGGGCCAAAGGAGGGAAGTCCAACCCGGTTGCTTCCCATTGGTTTTGATCCTGTATCTTTGGTTCCTCTGTCCCCATGCCCAGCTGCTGTGATCCTTGCACTGATGATCCGTCTCTGAAATGAAAACTTCAGCTTAAAACAAGGACTCTGAGTTTCACTTACATTTTTCTCATGTTCTCAGTTTTGCCACGAAAGCTCAAATAGTTGGGGTCAATAACTGACACTATTGCACATGGAGGAAATAGGCACAATATAAAATGACTCCCCATCCCGGGAGGCTCCTGGGACAGATGAACAGAAGGACTTTTAGTAGACAGAATGGACAGAAACACACAGAGGGATGAAGACCAGAACTGGATTTCTGGAACTCTAAGCTTCCTCAATTGCCATGATAAAAGGAAGCAAAACACTATGCTGACATAGTGATAAATAGATTCCTGGGCATAGTTTTTCCAGGACTGCTAAATGTAATTTCCTGATCAAGTCTACAGATAAAGCGGTGTTGCTAATTTACATCGGGCAAGTCTGAGTAAAAATAATTATTACAGAAACGTAGGCTTGATTTAGGGGTGGTGGTATTAGGTTATATCTACTGGACTCCCACAGGCTCTTGTATTCAGGAAGGAAATGAATCAACGTTCTTATGAGAGAAATTCAGATCTCTGCCTCTTTGTGCTGGAAAGGAACTAGTTTCATGTGACTCTATTGTATTCCCTTTATAAAAAGTACTCTTCTTTTAGATAGTTGTTGCCTCCCTAGCCAAGAGATTGGTCATTTTATGTGTTTTTTTTTCTGGAAAGTCTCCCTGGAAGCCTGGGTAGCTGAGATAGCATGAGGACCTCTGTGTTCAGGAGACTGTGCCCTCCTCCCTGGTAAAGTCCTGGAGCCGTGAACTTCGATCTAGGATTGGTTTTGGCCAGTACTAACTGACTTTGATTTGAGCAGGGTCTGTCTAATACATTCACAATGCACCTCTATTCTATACCTGCTGGTGGTATGAATGGACTGTCAGCAGTTAAAATAACAAAGATTCAATGTCTTCCTTTTTCTTTCTATGTTAAAAAAAAATAGCTAGCACACAAGAAGGTGCTCTGCAAGATTTTGTTCCTTTCAAACATGACTGTTTTTTTTTTTTTTTTTTTT